TGATGATGTTAATATCGTTGTAGAATGGTGATATCTTAGTTGTAAATTTTTCATAAAGCTCGCAAACTATCCTAGTATACTGCGTTGGAACTTCCTGACTCTCCAGGACTTCCCTGACTGTTTCCATCTGAACCGACTCATAAGCCATCTTCAAATTGTAGAAGGTGAGACAGAGCGGGCATTCGTACTCTCGCAATACTTCAATAAGTCTTGCTATGATGTGGATATGGTCTGTGGTACCGGATCCATCCCGAAACCCTGCTTGCTCAAATGGCTGTCCTTCACCCATTGTTCTGTCAACCTTGTTTAAGAACACACGAGTGGAAACTTTGTCGGCGACAGACAGCAAGCAGATTGGGCGATAGTTGCCGATATCGTAGAGGCTACCCTTGCTGATCTAATCACGGTCGTGCTGGTCTTCCACTGAGTAGGAACCTTGCCTTCAGACATGTAACACGTGAAAAACCGAGCCAGTGTGTCTATAAGGACTAGTGGAAAGTTCTTCAGGTGTTCAGATTTTGCTTTGTCCGGACCTAGAACTGTTCGATTTTTCAGCGACGAAATGGTATGTCGGATTTCAGAAGGGAGAACCGTTGGTGCAACATGTCCATCCTCCTTTATTTCATATGAGGGAAGGTGTACGTGGCTATCAAAGAGATCTGAGTAGAAATCGAGAATGATATTCTCCACTGCCTTTCTGGATGCTGTAACTGTTCCATCTGGGCGTCGGAGTGCAATCATCTTGATCTTGTAATTGCCGACGCATCGTTAGGCTCTCAGAATGCTTTTCCCGGCCTCTGCCGCTTCGACCATTACTGCTGCTCTTCTCTCTTTAGTATCTTCTTTAATGGCCTGTCTACACTATTTTGCAAATTCAGACGTTAGTTTGCAGTTGTCTGCAGCTCGTGCGATTCCACGCTGGCACATCAGCTCGAGTGTTTCTAGAGAGAGACGTCTCTTGGTGACTTTCGAGCTCTCTACTTTCGTAGCGCTAACGTGAAGATACTGAATGAGCCGTTCGAATTCATCGTCGATGTTATCGACAAAGGTATCTTCTCAACAACCGACTAATAAGTCCCAATTTACAGTGGTTTTGAGACTTTGTTTTTTGAATTTAACGGCTTTTTCTCCTCTCCGCGAGAAATGAAATCTTGCGCTAAGGAGGCGATGGTCTGATCCTGTGTGGAATGTTGGAACAACAGTGCCATCGGTTAGGCAAGACCTTCAATTTACTATGATGTGGTCTATTTCGTTATGGTACTCTCCATTAAGAGTCTTCTAAGTGCTGCGTTGAGGGAGGGCCTTCTGTAACTGCGTGTTTTCATGAATTAATGGTCTCGGTTGTCATGATGAACTCACTCAGTCGCTCACACTGTTCGCTCTATTGTAATCCGTGGGTCACAATGTGATGTTCCTCAGACGATCTTCTGGGTCTAATCTTAGCGCTGAAGCCTCCAATAATGGACTTGAAAGAAGCATAGTCTTCTCTATTGAACTTTTCCGAGTCGACATAGAACTCTCCGACTTCTTTTCGTCATAAATTAATATCGGCTCGTAAACGACGAAGTTTCTCAAACTCGGTACTGATCCACACCTTTTCAATCGTAAATGTCCGATTTGGGCTTTTTTTCAAATGGGTCGACGTTCATGGACAAACTCATGTTGACGAGAACGCCGACGCCGCCGCTTCTCTACTGTCGGATGTTCCGAGGAACAGTTTTTCTCCCGTGTCATAGACGGTTTTGAATGGGTGGTGTAGTCTATTCTCGAGCAAGCCGATAACGTCGTACCTTATTCTTCTTGCTTGCATGATCAAATCTTCCATCGAGGAATCAAAAGTAAGATTTTCTTCGTATTTTTGTTGAGCAAACGCGAGGTGTTACTATTCTTTGTTCACGATTAAGCTGACGTTTCGGCGGATTTCGCCTTCTTCAGAGCCTGGAAAGGTCAAGTTGATAGCAACTCACTCGGCCAGACGCCTCCATAACCAAACGAAGAAACTCCAAACCAAGATTTCAATCACTTTGAACACAGCTTTGCACACTTACCGCTTTCTATGAGGTCTCCACTAAGTATGTCACGTAGAGGCCAACCGCACAGAAATCACGTGGAAGTATAATGTGCCCCTCACATCAGAAAAGCAGTTTTATATACTGCCCTATATCACGCGTGATAATGAGGCATTCTTCCCTGCGGTTCATTTTCGGATTTCTGGAATTAATCCAGAGTGCCTCGAGAGTTTTTCGCGCCTGTGTTTTCGATTCGCGTGCGAGGATCGTGACACATACTTCGAAGTCGTCCCCGTTATATCTCTGGGTCCTATGCGTGCCTAGCGGGGTATTTGGTCTATTTTTGCCGGCTAGGTGTTCTTTCATGCGGACACAGAGGGGTCTACCCGTTTTGCCAATATATGCGTCACCACACGTCTTACAGGAGATCAAATAAACTATACCCGAGCTCATGCAATCACCGTCTCTACCACTGGGGCAAATTATGCAATTTTGAGCTGCACATAGACGGTCATATAGGCGGTTACGAACTAGCTGGCGCTTAAGATTACTCGGTGGTATTTCAACTACGCTCACCGAATTCTCTAAGCCCGCCCTTCTTAAGCAGCGTTTTATAGCTGTACTTATATCATTTGAGATGAAGGGTAGGATAAACGGGACCCTTCTATCGCTAGAGTTGTCGTTTGGAGGCCTACGATTTCCTCTACACCTATTCTGAGCTACAGTTTCGTAGCCAGCCATTAGAAACGGCTATTTGCCGTGCCAAGTTTCGGGACTCCTCTCTCTGCTCTCTTCCCGTGCACACGTTGGTTGATGTTCGAAACATGCTTCTTGTAAGCGCCCTTTTCGTGTGAGAGGGGTGAGAGGAGAGGTAATGAACCAAGATATTTTTACTACTTGGCTTTCGGTACCACTTTGTAATGTAGCCATTTTCTGATAGGTGAATTTGTACGTTCAAAAGTAAGAGAGCGTGTATTGTAGGTACAGACCATCGCCTTAGTCCTTCTTGATTTAAGCAACTTAGAATGACCCTAAGCTTTTAGCAGCCTCTGCGCATTCATCCTACCCAACGTCAGGGTAGCGGGGCTATTTCATGGTTAGGAAAATGAGGCCAGTTTACTTTACCGTGTTTTGCTTTTTGACACACACGTATAGCTTGTTGTGCTCTGAGCGTGGAGCTGGGTATACTCATGAGTATTTTGCTAGTCTATCCTAATGCAGACCTGCAATTTATTTGTTTAGGGCAACTCCTAGCTGCCTTCCATATACTTTTCTGTTACTTGGTTGTGGGCTTTGGCCGAATTGACTAGTAGAATATAATCCGAAAAAATGAGAACATGCTTACACATATACGCATGAATCCACATTCGTAAGTACAGAAAGTGTGTGCCAAATCGGCGTAGCAGAAACAGGGCGTCGTTCACTTGCGTTTCAGGGACGCAAAGGTCGCTTTTGGCTCGCGATCAACCTCCTTCCCAACTGGAGACGCATCACGTAGCCACGCGACTAACCGAATCGGTGACCTCCATATGAAAGAAATCCGTGGGAGCACCCTGGCACATGAGCAAAACTCGGAACAAAGGTGCGCTTCGAACCTGCTACTTCTCTTTCTGGCAGTCCACGTGCTATCCACCACACCAACCGAAGCTTTTGCTTTGTGTTTCTTTCGGGCATTTTTTTTCCTGATGGTGGTATCAGCAATCATTCTTCACCGGGAAAACCACAGATGGGCACTGTTCCTAGTCAAACTGAAACCGCAGTCATATCTCAACATTATGTGACGCGCTTCGCAATATACCATGCCATGACAGAAGAATAGGCTGCAAATAAAAGTTGAAACAACTTACAAACGGTTTGCAATCTATTTTACTAAGGCGGCATAAAACTATCCTTTTCGACTGTTCTTCTAATGAATTTATGCACTCTCCTCTGCTTTTAATAATATACCAGATAAGAACTTCAAAAGCAGCAATAAATATTTCTAGTGCCCCTACAGCACTGATGTTACCTAAGCGATGATCGATGAGATCTAAATCGACTTCTGGATCGAATGCGGTGTTTTTTCGCTGTCCTTCATTTCCATTAATACTTTTGGGAATCATTTTCCCACCACTTCCAGTTAGCTGAAAACTGCATACGTTTATAACTGACGTGTAGTAAAAATCAAAATTTAATTGTTTCCGTTTCGGCTTTGAAGAAGGCGATCTCACCTACAGTAAGGTTTTACAATAATTCCATTACAACTCAAGAATACAACAGTATGTCAAAAATCAATATTTGTTATACTACTACATCAACTGACTGATAGGCTGAAAATAGAATCCAAGAATGATGAGTCATAGAAAGTCAATTGTCGTGACGCCCAAGAGGAAGAAAATGTCGGCTCTGCGGGCAAGACTTATCAAATCCGTTTCCAACCTTTCTCTGTAGATACGATCGCAGATGGTAAAGCGTGGAAAGCAGTTCTTAATTGTTACGTAAACGGCTCGTCCTCACTAGTTGTGCGGGCTCCAGCATAATCACCATTTTTCGGAGACTTGCTGCTCAAGCCATTGTGATTCCCTGGAATTCCGAGCTCAGCCTGGCCAAAGTCTGCTCCAGGTCTTCACCACAACAGGCAGTCGCACCCATGTGAATCAGAGGGCCGCAGACACACCTCGCAGCCACCATGAGGCGGTAAACCGCTAGGAGGAGAAAACAGTTCATAGATTCTAATACCGTAAAAAGATTCCAGGTCTTCGTTCTTATCAAGTGGCTCGTTTGTTTTTTCGGAATATATGAAAGTGTAAAACAATATATAAAAAAGCGCTCTCAACGATTTACCGCCTCATCGTGACTGGAAGGTGTTCCTGGGTGTCGGGCTGTTATGTACAGCAAGGGATTCATCCCTCCAATAAGGCCTGCCAAACTGAGAAGGAGAACAGCATTTTCATCAAGAAGGCCAGCTAAGAGCAAACCAATGCCGGAATCCACCACAGTCCTGTTATCAAGCTAGTCGCATGGTGGCAAACTCCCCTCTGATCCACAAGGGCTGCGACTGCCTGTTGTGGTGAAGACCTGGAGCAGACTTCGGTCGGTGTGACCCCGCGACTCCAGGGAACCACAATAGCTTAACCAGCAAATCTCCGAAAATTGGTGATTATGCTGGGGGCCGCACAACTAGTGAGGACGGGCCGTTCAAGTATCAGGTAAGTAAGTAGTGAGACGCGGCTGAATGCATCATTGGCCTAGAAGACTTCTTACAACTTTCCCGTGAATAAGCTCAGTGTGTTTATCTTTCGAGACAAGTATTGGAGAAATTTATTGAACCGAAAGGATGAAAAACCTGGTTAAAACGAAGTATTTGCTACCACGTGTAAAGTTCCGAGTGCCTCAAACCCCTCTATTATGAAGCCGTATATTTAGGTGTGCCGATTTATTTACAGAGTACTGTCTCAGCACTGTGGAAGTTGAAGAAAGCAGTGCCAGAATTCGGTCAGTGGACTTGCACGCAACGCTTATCTGTCGGACATTCTCAGATTACCTAATTGTTCTGACGAACAGAAAACAGTATCTTTATTTTCGATGCGATTTGCCAGACAATCCGGATAGAACTATTCCACCCAATGAGGCAGTTGGTATTCAAATGCAGTAGTGTCGAGAATTACGAAATAAAGGCTGCTCAGTAAATCTTTTGGATGGTAGATTATAATATAATCGAGCAAAAAGTTGCATTTCTATGTATCATTATCTCTTTAGATTGCTAGTATATTAATACAGTGGAGTTTCAATTGAACAAAAAAAGAACAAACTAGTGATTTCGGTCAAACTTACGTCGATCATCATACCCATTTTAGCAAACGCTCCCAGCTGCGCCATGCCAAACCTAAGTCCTTTGTTGACGCTAATCTTTTGAGCCATCTGAACTAATGACGATCACAAGTCATCCTAGGTGCAAATAAGTGAAGTGATGGGTTAAGGCCTTATTATAGAAGCACTTTAGTAAAACAATCTACCTTATCTTTTACTTAAATTATCACCAATGGAGTCATTCTATTAAAAGTCAGGTTCAAGAAAATCGAATCGAGGTTAACAAATTAAGCGTGCAGTCTCACCAGCACCATTTTTTCAGCGATAGCCGTCGCTTTTCCCATTTGTCTTCCCATGTAGTGGACATGGTGAATAATGTTAGCCGCCACTACATCCACTCAAAACAAGTATACGTTAGGAACTGTTAAGTAAAATTTCAATTTTTAACATCATTTTTAAAAATGTAGAACAAAGCCATCTGTACCATTCTTTCCTCAATAACCGTTTCCGCCTTAAATGAACAGATGGAAACTGGCTGTTACCGACATAATTGAAAAGATCCACTTTCTATAACCTTCGGCATAATAGTCGACGTATCCATATATATAACCTTATGAACTGGCCTAGCTGATGCGACGTTGGTCCAGATGTTCTAACTGTTGTTGTTGTTGTTGTTGTTGTTGTTGTTGTTGTTATTGTTGTTCGATGGCTGACGTTTCAGCAACTTCACCTTCCTCAGATCTTGGGCATACCATATGTAACAGTAGCCCAACAATTCGGTGAGATCCACAGCATTAATGACTACCTAGCATACGAACAGACGCCAATTTTTCAAAAACTACCCATGGCGCTGCTGGCTCAACAGTGTGTTGTTCACGAGGGTTGATGAGTGAGACCTACCCATGAAGATGCGCATCAAAAAATGAGTCTAAAACATCAGTGGGAAAAACTCTTGAGGTATTGTGAAAAAATTTCAGAAGTTCAAAGATGAATCGAGAAGACGAATACCGCACTATCACATGTGATATAGCGCCTTATCTCAGAATCACTTTTTGACGCACATCCCCATGAGTGGGTCTTACTCATCAACCATCGTGAGCAACACACGGGTGTTCTAACGACACGCCGATCAGTTTTTGGAAAATGTGCGTCTGTTCGTATGCTAGATCTTCATTCATACAATGGATTTCACCGAACTGTAGGTTTACTATGTTTAACGTTTTGTTTTCTGCCTTCTATAATTTTCATGGCAGGTTACTAAGCTAAATACAACCACAACGTTGCTGAGATATTTGCAAAACTCTGGACCGCAGGTGTCTATGGTGGGGAACGAACGCGCTATTATCCTTTCCGGGGAGTAACGCGTTCACCACCACACCATGCGGGTCCTTTGTTTCGCACGTCTCTCAGCTATTTCTATCGATCTTTTTGCCACAGCAATCACCCGTCAGCGGGGTTGATCTGGGGAGCGCAAATCGGCATAGAACCCAGTTAAGCTATGGCTGTAGTTGAAATCACAATGTTTAACGTTTTGTTTTCTGCCTTCTATAATTTTCATGGCAGGTTACTAAGCCATTTTCATGGTAGGTTTACTGTTACATGTGGTACGTCCTGGCTCTGAGTAAGGCGAAGTCGTGGGAACGACACCCATCGAACAACAATAACAACAATGAGAACATCGATACCAACCTCACGTCAGTTAAACAAGGGCAGTTCGTAAGAACATATGTATAGATATATCGATTGTTACAGATATAACGTGCTCCGTAGTCGTACGTTAGCTATAAACCTCAAAGCTTCAAGCCCTTGCAATTTACAATAAAAAGATAAAAAAGATAAAGTTCTCGGCGTTGAACAATCCCTGAGGGATGAGCCATGTACTCGACTTCATCACTAATCGTTTGGAGGTGATTAAATGCATATCTGGCCTTTACAATGATTCGCAGTGGTCAACCGATGTATCAAGCCAGTGCTGCTATCCTAGCAGAAAAGTCTAGTACCAATTTGCCGACCCCGGCGGGATGAAAGGCCTGGTGGGCAGTGGGCGCTAGGATCGATTCACGTATGTATTGCAGGGCGCCTCCGACCACTACGTCACACACGCCCTTGCAATTTTCGACAATACTTAGTTATTAGAAGTAACTAAAAACACCTTCGACTTCTTTTATTGATCGCACTTTCCAAGTATTTGCAGCAAACTGTTCGATGTTACTTTTTGACGGCAATAAGTGTTATTTTGAAAGCTGTTCGTTTTTCATGCACAGTCATTTCACATTTTTAATTTCTCTAAGAATACCATGCTTTCGCCCAAAGTTTGTTGTATGAATGAAATCTCTCTCCTTTTTTGTCAGAGATTATAAAAATTCTTAAAATAGTATCACCAATGCCCACCTGATATTGTCATCAACGTCACGCCAACAAAGATGAATAGTATGAGGTACAGCACCGGAATGGGTGGACTGAAAATGCTCTGAAGAGTCAACAAAATTGCTACTTGAAGAAGAAACATTTTAGGAAAAGTAGGCACAGTCTTCCAGCCCATTTATCAATTTTCGCACATTCCAAGATTTGAAATCACGGCTTGAGCTCCTGCATTGCTTTTAGCACCCGTAATCACCCATGGGCATAACTGTTTCCATAACCTCTCATCCCAAGGCATTTACTTTCACTATTCTTAACGAGAAGGAAGCGGCAGGTAATTCATCGGGTCGCCACTTTACAATAAAAAGGATTCGGAATGGAAACTTCGAAATCCTCAGCTGGTATCAACCTGCAGACGGTTCCCTTAACAGTGCGTTGCAATTTGGCACGCTGACACCCCACGAAAACGACGGAATTGAAAATAGTTGTAGAGGCTACCATTTGCAATAAAGGGTAAAATAAAAGGATAAAGCTCTCGGCGCTGATCAATCCCTGAGGTTTACGCCATGCATTCGGCTTTACTAAGCATCGTTGGAGGTTGAATGCATGTCTGAACTCTACAATGACTTGCGACGGCTTGCCGATGTATTGAGCCAATACCGCTATCCTACCAGACAAATCTGGTCAACCAATTTGCCGACCCTGGAGGGATGGAAGGCTTAGATGTGTCATGGGCGCAGGGATCGATTCCACCTGTGTGGCAGTGGCGCCTCAGCCTCCAACCATTGCTCCATAAGCGCCCATTGCCATTTGCAGTACGGTAGATATTTGACTGATCTGAGGAGTAATATTCTCTTAAATATCAGCAGTGTTGAAATTTCTAAGATTTATGCTCGCTCGAAGAACATCACCATATTTATATCGGGCCGTAAAATTTAGCCACTTCCAGCCGAACTACGCTCATGGGTAGTTCGCTGAGTCCTCCCATATGAAGACATTTCTGTGCGAGCAACATTATTCTATCGCGCCATCCAGACTAGCCATGCCTTTACTTGTTGGAGGCGACCCCGAGTTCTTTCCATGTACTTGTTAGTAACATAAGGGCTTTCTTGCTAAACTCATGTGCAGAGCATTATCACCATTCAAACGCGCAAACCGATAACGGCAAAATAGAGAGCACTATCGTGCTCTGCTAGACAAAATCCCCCATATCCATTTGTTCTCGTATTCAAAGTAAGAGGTTTGAGTAACTCGGAAAGCGAAGCAAGTGTGTATCCCAGCCTACAAAAATCTGAATCTCATCCTGGTAAGACAAGAGACATTTCATTCTGCAGGAGAAATGACACTTTTATCGCTTTTTGTTGAAACTTACAAAATTCATGATGAGCTGAGATATTTTGATTTAAGCGATAGCTACCACTAGCCACTAGTTTCACATCTTACGATTACTATAGAGATCACTTGTTGCGAAAATATTAAAAACATATAATGTTGCTGGGATATTTGCAAAACTCAGGACCGTTGGTGTATGCGGTGAGGACCGAACACGTTATCATTCTTTTCGGGAGCCAACGCCTTCACCACCACACCATGCGAGTCCTTCATGTCGCCTGTGTCTCAGCCATGTTATTGACCTATAGGCGCTGTCAGCAATCAGCCGTCAACCGGATTGATCTGCAGAGCACAAATCGTCTGGACTTGGACTGGAGCACTGGAAACAAAGGACTCGCATGGTGTGGTGGTGAAGGCGTTAGTCCGCGAGAGGGTAATAGCCTATTCGGTCTCCACCGAAGACACCACCTGCCCGGAATTTTGCAAATACCTCAGCAACGTTATAGTTATATTTCACATAATACCCTACCAATAAAAATTAGCAGGCCCTAAATAGCTTAATTTGGTTCGTGCCGATTTGCGCTCTCCAGATCAACCCCGATAACGGGTGATTGTTGATAGCGCCTATAGGTGAATAACACGGTTGAGAGACAGGCGACGTGAAGGACTCGTACGGTGTGGTGGTGAGCGCCTTAACACGGAAAGGGTAACAGTGTGTTCGGTCCCCACCGCAGACACCAGCGGTCCGGCGTTTCGAAAATATCTCAGCAACGTTATGGTTATATTACACGTAATACCATGTCAATAAAAATTAGTAGGCAGAACATAAAAACTGACGGCATTAGGAACACAATTATATCATTGTCAAGAGAATCAACTCACTCAATATCACCAAAGCCAACGGTTAGAATTGTAATACAGCAGTAATAAACACTATCAAAAAGTGAAAGTTGTGAGACATTATGAATACAAACACCTCCAACGATTGGATACAGCAACAGCATAATAACAAGTGCCGCCATAAAACAGGGAATCGACTGCAATTACTGGAAAGCTTGCTCTAGCCACAGAAAGCAACAATAACATAGAACTAACCTCTCGAAAAAATTTGAATGCCGCATCACAAAAAAATTTACCAATGTCGGATATTGTAACGAGTGCCAGAGGAATACCAACGACAGCGTAGATAATGAGAAACAGCCTTCCGCTCCACGTTAGAGGAGTGACCAAGCCAAATCCTGATAAAGCACGAGTACTTGAATAAACACTGGTCCTATTTCGGTAATCAAATTCGAAATTTGACATAACAACTCCATGTAGGGTGAATAGATGTGATATTATGATCTACTGAAAACGTGAGAGCTTCCGAAACAAGCTGAGCACATTTCATTGACCCTGCCGATCCCAGGTGAAAAGACGAATATATTATCAACATATTAAAAAAGAACAAGGGATAAAGCTCTCCGCAATGGTCAATCCCTCAGAGATGCGCTTTGAATTCAACTTCATTAAGCATCGTTTGAGGTGATTGAACACATATCAGGCCTTTACAATACAGCTCGCGATGACATACTGATAATTCGAGCCATTGCTGCTATCCTTCCAGACAAGACTGGTACCAATAGGGATGGATGGCTTAGTGAGCCTGGGCGCGGGCATCGATCCCATGTGTATTGCGGGCGTCTTCGACCACTGCGCTACACGCCCCTTATCACTACCAATATAGTAGGTATAAAAGTATAGAACAACAACCCACTTGTGCGCAACCAAGAAAAAAGTTGCTAACCCAACATACCTACTGGTACCATCGTTGTTGCAGTGAACAACACTGCAGAATCCGTCGTCCAAAGTTCATTGTATTTACCACCGTTGTAAAAAAGTGAGTCGAAGAAGTTTCTCGCGATCTAAAAGGAAAGCGACTGATATAAAACGCTCGCAAGGTTGTAATTCTTGTCTGTTGAGGAAATATGAATATTCCCAAAAGTACTTTGCTGCTAACACTGCGAAATTTCTGCAAAAATTGACTTCGTCACCCTTTTTTTATTGAATCATCAGTTCAAATCAACATAGGAGATCTATAAAAAATGGGCGAATCGTTCTGTTTGACAGAAATAATTTGTAGCAATCGTGTTCTATTTCTTGAGGGAAGAAAACTGCTTGCTATCAAAAACTCACTAGCGAGTAGCCGTTTACAGCCCAGTGTGTAAAGGTGGCCTGCGATACACACGATTGTTGAAATACGACCACAACGATGCTGAGATATTTGCAAAACTCCAGACCGAAGGTGTCGGCGGTGGGGAACAAACGCGCTATTACCCTTTCCGGCGACTAACGCGTTCACCACCACACCACGCGAGACCGTTCGCAGTCCAACCAACTTCGCCATTTACTTGCTATCAGCAAATTGTTACCGAGCTTGTCAAGTAGGATAAAAAAAATTCTTGATTTTGCACCTTGGTAGGACAATACAAATCATTGCATAGGGCACATAGTCAACTAATCATCTTTACGATGACTGAATAAAGTCGCATGAATGGCTCATCCATGAAGGACCGGCAAGCGTAGATCGATTTGTTATTTCTTCCACCGTTGTCTCATCAATAATATGGCCAAACTATGCTTCACGGAAATTTTTCGGGACAGTAGAAATGCTTCTCATGCCATTCTGCACCCAATACACCGAAAAGCTTAATAGTTTGAGGCATTTGCTCCCCTCTAATGCAATGAATTCACAGCGTTGTGAACAAAACGTGTGCTTGGGAACTAACGGCAGACGACGTGAGTGCGAACGGTGAAATTATGAAGAACTCACTGGATTTCTGAATTCGTCGAACAGCTCTTCCAGATACTCATCGATCAAAATACTTGCTGTCGCATTAATTCCCTCTATATCTATATCAAAAAAATGTTATCATCCAAGTATTAATCCTATTAATCCTTAATAAGTATTCTATGTGTGTTGCGAAATTGTTATAACGGTTCGCATTCAATATATTGTAACTTTAATTCAGACGGTAATAGTGTTTTTAACAATAATAGTAAACAACAATAATTGAAATGGTAGCTGTGAAGACGATAGTAAAAGCAACAATAGTCTTAACATAACAGATCGAAATTTACTGGTTTTTCAAATGTTACACTTCTCAGAAAAGTAGCCACCTGATCTTTTCAACTTCTTCATATTACTAAGTAACCTCTGCTGCATTTCAGCAAATCGTCTTGCGGTCGCATCCCGTACTTTCATCTGCAACGGTAGCTATTTTCTTTCACTATGCAACTCCAGTGTTCAATGTTCAATTTGCACAAAAAAAACATTTCTGTGACATTTTTTGCCCTCAGAACTGGGCTTCATTCTCTGAAAAGGTCTGTTGTCTCATTGGAGTGCAGGGCGAACTGCAATTTAAGAAATGATTTCCAGTTAACAAGCAATGAAGCTGGTATGGCCCATGAGTCCTATTAAGGAACTCTACATTGCCAAAGCTTTGGTTAACGTCTCAGTTGCAATAAAAACTGCTCAGAGGACTTCGTTCGAAATAAGGTGAGCAGATTTATGTCCATATGTGCGTAAATAACAACCTAAGCATTTTTATAGGATCATAGAAGTTTAAGAATGCTGAGATATTAGCAAAAGTTGGGACCTCTTGTGGGAATCGAACCAGCGATTGACCTTACCGGCGGCTCATGTGATTGTTATTTCATTGTGAACACTGTGAGTTCAACTGCAGTTTCAGCTAAACTGAGTTCAATGCCGATTTGTACTCACGGAATCATTTCGTTGAGAGATGATTGCTGAAATCACCGACGAAGTAAAAACACGGCTGAGAAAGAACAAATCAATGGCTTCAGTTGGTGAGGTTATATCCTTATGATTATGCTTGTATTTCACATCGTACCCGGCCATGAAGAATGAGTAGGCAGACAATAAAAAATAAAATATAAGCCAACAATGTACGATATATGGACGAAAGAACTGTAAAATGGACTCCGCAAGGTTGCACGCGTCTCCGTGCACGACAACCTACACGTTCTACCGACGTGCTCGTAACCAATATCAAACAGTTGTACTCGTAGCTCCACTTGTTTTATAGACCGGGGTGTGAGACTCGCACCCTCCACCTTGCTCGAATCAAACCACCAACCTTGACGACGGCCGACTGGAAGCAGAAAAACGAATGGAAGATGTGCTATGGTTCGCACAGTACATGAAGAAGAGTCGTAGAAGCATGCAAGCATCTAAGTAAGTAGACCAAAAATGGCGCTTAGGAGCTGGATGATTCTTGCAAGTGGATGAAGCGGCGCTGTTCAGAACTCTGGGAAGCTTGAAAACGTGTTTTCGCCGTCAAATTTGAACAGCAGTGTTGAGACTGCTTAGTACTCTTTATTAATTTCTGTTATAATGCATTTTCTATTTGTGAGAAAAAAATGTGAAGTCTTTGAAATTGCGAAACTGACCTCATGGGGACGTTCTAATTTCTTGAATGCAATAGCACCAATATTGATGTATGTCAGGCAGACAAGCACTAAGCCAATGTGAAGGCCACAAGACCGAAGCACCTTAAAGTACACGCTTACTTTAACGAACATTTTGCCGAAATAAACAAAAAAAAACAAGTGTCGTGCTCTCCATTATTCTGCATAAACCATCTTCTCCGTGCTTTTAAATGAAGGTTCCCTAACGCATTTTTATTTTTTCTACTGAAAGAGGTACTACAACCTTCTCGAAATCTTAGAAAGGGTGAGTTTGTATTTACACGTCAACCATGTGCTTTTGAATATTTGACTTCTTGCATGTTCATAGCTCGACAAACTTTGCAATAGTGAAGCAATGATCGGAAATCCCCTGAGATGTATATCAGCGGGTTAGTTCTCATCGGTTTCAATACTGGAAAAAAAAGGTGCAGTTTCCGACAAAAAAGATAATGACGGTGGTACACCTGTGACTGCTCATTTTTGAATCTCCAAGAAAAAAAACCGATAGTCAACTTCTTAGCTCTCGTTTTACTCTTTTTTTTCTTAAGCTTCATGACACTAACCAATACACAAGTGCACTAGGATTTTTGCAGATATTAAAGATAATGATAAATTGCAAACAAGGCAGTTCCTCAGTCGTTCCAGCCTTTGGTCCAACGATCCTGGTTTTCAGTAGTTTAAATAATACTCGTCGCCATTTCCAAACCTCCAACCATCTTCATGCCTACTCTTCGAAAGGTTTTGCCATATTTTACGACTCAAAATAATTCATTAAATTAACTCGCTTTTCTTTCAGTAACATTTTTGAGGACGCAAAACATGGAGAGTTGGATTAATCAATGAGGTTTCTATTGTGAAATTCACCATTTTCATGACGCCAATCGCATTGAACTCTCCTTGCACGGAACGATGATCATTCAAGATAGTCGGGAAGCTGCTAGATGTTCTTGTCATTCCTACAAACTGACTGGCTTGATTTAATGCTGTTCGTAGAGAATACGCTCTAAAAATGTCATGGAGAAAAGCTACGAAAGCACGAGCAATTGCCTCGAAAACGGTTTGCAAGAGAATAAGGACATTTTTATAGTTGGCAAGATGGAATAAACTAAAAGAAAAACTTATGAGAAACAGAAAATACTGTGTCAATCGAAAACTCATTCTCACCACGACTAATAAATTTTGAAGGAAAAACCTCGAATTTCGTGCTAGCTATTATGAACGAAATCAAATGAATACGTGAAGAAACTGAGTTCAAGTCATGCTCATCATCCTGTGGTTTATATCCCTGTTCTATGCACAACGGTCGTTTTTTCCAACAAGACTCAGATTCCTGTACGTTTTTAATACTTTATATAGGATAGCCGAACATTACTCGTTTGGCTTTGAGTTTGTTAATAATGGTAAGTTTAACGGTATTGGATCAATGAACGGAGTACATATCTGCGAGAAAACTTGAATTAAACATAATTTGACCCGGATGGTGTAGTGGTGAAATGCGCTGCTCCCCGGTAAGGACAACAGCGCGTGTTCGTTCCCCACTGCATACACCTGTGGTCCGGAGTTTTGCAAATATCTCAGCATTTTATATGAGTTATATTTCACAACATACCCTGCCATTAAGAAAAAAAAGGCAGTAAATAAAAGAGTTAAGATCATAATTTTACATCTACTGCATTTTTTGGAAGTGTTTTTGTGTTTGCATTTGTCCTGTCTTCTCCTATGCAGTGACGACTATCCTTTCATTCATAACGCTTGAAAAAATACTTGTTCCGCTCTCTGTAAGACCATGTGCCATTATGAGAAAATCGTAGGACTCTTCGATGTATTATACTGATCCCTTTGAATCCATAGCTAAAGGCAAGCCCCGACTTTCGCTGAGCCAGCAGTGAACAACCAGCTTCCATTAATGACAGCACATTGATAATGAATGGTGCTGATCACATGTTCCTGATTTTATTGCTTTTGATGAGTGGTCTCCATACTGACCAAATCTTAGTTCTCTGGACTACTTCATGTGTCAAAGGCGCGTGCGGTGCAGTGGTTGGAGGCGACCTGCGATACATACATGGGATTGATCCCCGCGCCCGTGGCTCGCCAAGCCTTCCATCTCTCCGCGTTCGGCAAATTGGTACCAGACTTGTCTGCAAGGATAGCAGCACTGGCTTGATACATCGGTGGACCACCGCGAGTCATCCATATGTGCATTCAATCACCTCAAACGGCACTTAATGAAATCGCATGCATGACGCATCCCTCAGAGATTGATCAATACCGTGAGCTTTATTTACTCCATGTGGTTAATCCATGACAGGAATACTTGTGATACTCTCGATGAATA